CCCCCCTGCACACACACACACACACTGGTTGCATTGTCCTCATACAAGAGTCATGTGTATTCCTCTTGAATCTCGGTGAGCTTTGTGCATTTCTTCCAGATCTGTGAGGGACTTGAAGCTTCCTGTAATATAGACCGCTCACTGCTGCTCTCTCTTCTTGTGCAGGATGACTGGTCTTGTCTCCGCCCCCTCCTCTAGTTTCCTGTAGTGGGTGGGGCCTGCTGGGTCCCTCCCACAGCTCTGCTCTGTGTACAACACAATGATGATGCCACTGCTACTTATACAAAGTAATATCTGGGTTTGCAGAGGCATTTAGTGCACACAAAGTGGATATTTATCCTTTGTGACTATTGAGGAATATATTTAAATGTTTTTGTGCCTGGAGGGAAGGACGGAGGTCAGATAGAAGACTGAAGGGAAGGCCGGAGGTCAGATAGAGGACTGAAGGGAAGGCCGGAGGTCAGATAGAGGACTGAAGGGGAGGACGGAAGTCAGATAGAGGACTGAAGGGAAGGCCGGAAGTCAGATAGAGGACTGAAGGGGAGGACGGAGGTCAGATAGAAGACTGAAGGGAAGGACGGAGATCAGATAGAAGACTGAAGGGAAGGACGGAGATCAGATAGGAGACTGAAGGGGAGGACGGAAAGTCTCCCACCAGCTGTACATAACTCGGCATGGGAAGTGTCCTCAGTGACGATGGTTGGCGTTGTGACATCGATCAGCAATGGCAGACACCCCCTGACCTCTCATCATTCTGGCGGGTGATTGGACGCGGTCTGACGTCAGCGCTCGTGTCATCTGGTTGCGGCGCTCATTATCGGGACGCACAGAATACACACATTGGCTCCTCTGTGTAAACGGTTTCTCTCCGGCGTCGCCGAGACGTCCTTGTTTACAGAACAATGTAAATCTGCTGTATAGGTGAATGAGGTTTATCCTGACTCTGCCGGCGTGTTTATAGCGGGGCCGGCGGGCGGTATGTGAGCTGGCGCTGCCACCGGGCCAGAAAAATTAGAGGCCTCCACGGCTACTG